CAAGTTATATGACTTTAAACAAAATATATAAAAAATATATAATAAAATGCAAATCGAGGGCTTTCTGTTTAACATATATGTATTTCTATTCTTTATATTCTTTACAAGTGTATTTTTCAAAACAACCAAAACCATAAACTAAATTCAACTCGGTCGTATAAAAATAATATGAACATAACAACTAAACAAAACAGATGACAAAAAAGCACTCGGACATATATATAACATAGAATTTACAAATATTATTTAAAGAAAATATTCTTAATATTTGGTCGGCAGCCTTTATTTTTTCTGATAGCATTCGGTCTTCTTGGCAAAGATTCAACTAGCTTCTTGCGTTTTAAAGAGTTTATTTTCCCCATTCTTCCAAAATAGCGGTCTCTCGATCTTTCTTATTTCTAATAACATGCATTTTCAGTTTATTTTCCAAATGAGCCCACAGATGTTCAATTACATAAATATCGGGAGATTTAGGGCAGTTATACATCAACCATAGACGGACATCAAGTGCTTTATGCTTGGGATCGTTGTCTTGGTAGTAATGGAAATTGTCTTTAATTCCCAAATTTTCCGCACTTTGCACTAAATTTTCTTTTAAAATGGTCAGATATTGCTTGTGGTCCATATTACCAATTATGAAACAAAAATTCCTAGTACCAGCTGCGGACATACAACTCCATACCATTACTGAGCCGCCCCGTGTTTAACAGTAGGACGTAAATTCTTTCAGTTAACCTCGTTTATAAATGGTTTCTTCCGTGCTACTCTTCCATTATAATTATTTTTTCGTAAGACTATTCGGATACTCTCCGGATTACAATTTATATTGAGATGTTGTAAAACTTCTGTTGAGAGCTTGGGAGCGCTCATATTTGAATTTTTTTGATTTGCTGCACTATCCACCGCTCATCTGCTGCCGAAAACAAGTTCGAAATGACTAAGAATTAATTTCCTTACTTCAATTGAACTTTGTCCACGCCACATGTTAATTTTTTTAAGTAAGGGTATAGGAGACCTATAAACTATTTAATTGTTATCGGTATTTTTCAAATCATTATTGGATACCCTATAGAAACATAAAAAACAAAAATGCTTAATATCGATTGGTTAAAAAAATCTAGCTTGAAGTTGCATGCTAATAACAGTGGAATGTATGTCTGAGTTCTTTATTGAGCCACTGTATTTATATATTTGATAAATACGAATAAATAAATTAAAAATATTTGAAGATATAAAATTGTAAATATTTTTAATTTTCTTAAACTTTCTGCGCAGTTTTTTTTCTACAAATTTTTGATGGAGAATTGTGTTTTTCAAATTTTTTTATCGATTGTTTTTTTGCTACAATATAATAATGCGATCAAAACTTTATAATATTATTTAATTATTTTTGTCACTATTTTTTTATATTCTAAATTAAAAAAGTTTTCAATGTAAAATAAAAGAAAAGTCGCTAAAACCTTTAATATATTTTTATATTCTTTACAATGCGAAGTATTTTTCAGACTACAATATTTCCAGAAATTCGCAATTATCCTTAGCCAAGTTGATAACCTCCTTCCGCATAATTCGCTTCACACTCACAAACCATTAACTCAACCAACCTTCAATCGCCAGATATTATGATGTTGTAACACAACGTTGATTTGTGGTGTTGCGGCTGCCTGCCAAAGCATGGTTTTGGCATTTGCTTCTCCGCTTATTGACTTGCCACAAACAATAACTTAAATAAGTGAATAAAGCGAGAATAAGGTAAGCGCTAAACATTTCTTCTGCGAGAACGAGGTAAGTCTTCGGCGGAAATAAGATGTGTACTTCGACTTTGGTTATACGTCATTTACCACGTACTCGGCATTTTCGAATGGTTTATTATCGAACAGGAAACAGCCAGCCAACCAGCCAGCCAGCAATCCACCCACGCGCGTTCATTGTCAGCATACAGCAAGTATGTCCGTTTAAAAAACCATTTACTCTTGCAACCTTTGCTCGACTTGAGAGCCAATTTTAGTTTGCGGTCTATCTATTTTTTAATGCAAACTTCGCCAACTTACCCCATAGGGTGTGCTGAGTGGCAAGTTAGTGTGTCACCCACATACTATGTATGTATGTCAACCGAGAGTAGATGTGCTTATTCATAAGTACATACATATGTATGTATGAACATGCAACTGTATGGACCATTTATACTTGAATATCTTTGTATGTATCTCCATCAGTATTATCCATTTTAGAAGTGCAATATTTGCGTCAACTTAGTTTTGGACTTTGGTATGAGTCCGTACGTGGTGTTATATATATATATATATATATATATATATCGGGTATGTATGTATGTTTACATCTGAATCTTTGTTGTTCTTGCCGCCACCACCATCTGCTTCGAAATTGCGATATTGTTGAGATTTATCACTTATCCCTTACCGCACCGCTAGTGGGAGCTTACTTATGAGTGCTGCCCTCGCCATTATGTCAGAATTCTGCTCGGCGACTTTAAGGTCAGATTGGGCAAAGAAAGACACAGCTGACGAAATTTTAAGCTTCCACAACGAAACATCCCCGAATGAGTTGAGTACTAGATACCTACACAAAAAAATCATCAATCTTCCGACAACCGAAAAACTCGCAACCGGATCGAACATTCCACTATCTTGTATCGCCTCTGTGCGCCCGTCAACAAACACAGTAGAGGTTTGACGTCCAAAAGCTGCAATCGCAACGAACAGTCGAACAGTTTTTTACTCGACTCATCAACCACTCGGTCTAAGGAATCTGTGGAACGGCATTTCATGCTCCCTTTATTGTCCAATTTGAATAATTCAGTCGGTAAACCAACGTTTCCCCGTCACTTGGTTATTATTCGGGTAGATAACCACATCGAACTCAGTCAAAGTCTAGTGACGGAACATCTTTTTCACGGATTGGTGATTCAGAATAGCCACCTTCGGTGCTGCATTTTCTCTGCTACCGATTAAGTGGGCTGAATAAGTATTCCCTTCATAAAATCTGGGTGCTTCTGTAGGGCTTTCGACAATGATATCTGTGGGATCACTTCTCAAGCTCTTCGTATGTACTTCTCCAGCTTTGCTGTATACAAAAGCATCCCGCTACTGTCTTCAGAATACGAAATCAACGGCTCGTTTTGTGATCGATTGAGAGCTTAAAATACCCAGCTTTTTATGAATGCTCTTCCTTGGCCAAGGTGGTGTTGAAATCTAGCTTGAATTTTCACTCGCAAAACTAACTTCAAGTTTGAGGACCTTTCACAAAAGCCCATCTACTTGCGTTCCCGCCTTTATTGAACGTCGACGTTGTTAGTCTTTTTTGGTCTCCAAACCAAGGTTTGCTGGTTTCTTCGGTACCAAAAGACTGCGCGGCTACAAGGGGGTAGCAGTTAAAATCTTGTATCTCTTGAGTGAACTTATTTAACCGTTATTCCAAGAATAATACTAGTATCTTAGAGTGTAATTTTGTCGCTGTTTAACTCGCTTTCATTTCTGCATACTTACATACGTGCATACGAGCACATATGTAGGTGCATATATATGTAGTTACAATTCAGTTGTTTATTTTTCGCAAGTACTACTCCTTTTTCATGTTTTCTACAACTCGCTCTCGTTGCTCTCTTAATTGGGCTCATTTCCGCGTAGCACTCTACAGTTGTGCCGTGGTTATGGTATGTGTATGTCCATATATATGTGTGTATGTATTGAGAAGAGTTACCTGCATTTCGCACCCCATCGCAAGCCAATTAAGTGAGCGATCTCACACTGTTTAGGTTTTTATATCAGCGCCAGCGATTTTGTTTACTTATGTTGGGGTCTCTTCATCACACACACCTATGTTTTCAATGTTATTGTTGATATTATGTATGTATAATATACATATGTTCGTGTTATTGCGGTTGTTGTAAATGTTTGTTTTTCTAATGTTTTTTTTTTTTAGTATTTTCATTCCGTTCATACCGCTCTCTTTGTACTTGACTGTACTCTCTTCACGGGGTACATTCGATTTGTTCATTTAACGGTTATCGTCATAAAATAAATAATTCAGATGTCTTGTTGATCGGTACCGCATCCGAGTTTTTCATTATTTTTAATATCAAAAAATGTAAGAAAAAGTTAACAGGAATTTCTGTGTGTCTTAAGCTTAGTAAGGACCCCTCCAAAAGACTCTCGAGACGGCTCCACACACGCAGAGAGTTAATGTTGAATCAAACTCAAACCCTCGTAAAAGAAAAACTTCTAACATTGATCGTAGACCGATATGCAATGTGCGATTTCGCCCGAACTTAGGTTTTTGTTACAGCCTCAAAAATGTTTCCCAAAGTAGTTTTTAGAGAATGGAATTTTACTGTCCTTGGCCGATGGTCACGGGAACTTTTTAATTTTAGTCGCCTCCTACGACAGACATGCCTTGCCCCCTGCGGGTTTGGGGTTCAAGAATTTGCCCGCGGTAAGGCATGCCTGTCTTAAGAGGCGACTTGAAGCCAATAGTTCCCGCGAAGGACAGGTCTTTATACAGGGACGATCCGGATTTTTAACCGGCCAAGGACGGTCACACCCGCAACATTCCCCAAAAAATACTATAACCAATATTTTTGCGGTTACAACAACAGCAGGCATGCCTTACCGCCGGAAATTAATTCTTGAAATCCTACCCGGCAGAGGGCTCCGAACTGGGATCTGCCTTATTTGTATTGAAATGGCATTGTTGCTTTTTATGTTGCGCTACACTTCGGTTATTTTTGTTGTAATAGGTTTGTGCATAGTTTTAGTTGCTGTAATTGCTGTTATTTTGATTGAGATTCTTTGTTGTTGTTGTTGTTGAATATTGCAGTTTGCTGCTCTCATTTATATATGGAACTTCATCGCTGCCACAAACGAAAAAAATTATCTATCGAAAGAAGTAAAATAAACGGTGCCATAAAATAGTAAATATACCGCCGTGGAGCGCGCATTGCAGCGCCGCAACGTGCACGAGCAATCGCGCTTCTTGTTGTCGTCCACGACGACCACGACGAGTGGTGGCAGCGCGCGCCTAATCGACGCGTTTACAGCGCGTAGTGCAGCATTTGTTGATTTGTAATTCAAGTGACAAGACGTCACTCAGCTTGGCAGGCAGACAACGGGCTAACAGGAAAGCAAAGCAAACCAAGCCAGCTAGTAGGCAATAGTCGCCGCTAACAGTCAAGTCGATTCGATCCCAAACGATCCGTCAGTTGGCCGCATTCGCGTCGAGGAAATAGTTGTAGTTGTGCATTCGTTGGTGACGACTCGATCAAAACACTCGTCGGTGGCCGTCGGTCGGTGGAGCCAAGCGATACAACATACAGTGACATTTATTTATTTAACATCGTAATTGTTGGTATTTTCTTTCCGCTTTTCTCCCTATTCGTTGGTTACAAGACAGCCGCGGTGCACTCGTTCGTCGTTAACTCGCCGTTGATGATTGACTTTATAAAGTGAATAACGCGACATTTGTGTGCGAATTTTTTTCCGCAGCGCTAAAATAATTAAATTTAATGTAATAAAAAAGAGAAATAAAAAATAAAAAAAAATTAATTAAGCTCTCAAGTGTCTATTTAAACCGTTACGATTAATGTGTAAACGTTTTGTGTTCATCGCGCTGCTTAATTTGTAAACACTTTTGGTTAATTTTAATCCATTTTTACCAAAGCTTGCTCACCACATTCATCAGCCCCCATTTGGCTTGGCCGGGCGTTCCAATCATGTGTATGTTATTTACCATATTTATCATATTTATTGCTTACACATTTCAATTTCCTTCTTGCTTCCGACGGCGCGCTCCCGCCTGTTTCATGGCATGGGCGGCGGTTGTATGCATTTATGTTCATTAGGGAGGGTCAAAAAACAAATTATTTGGAATATTTGGAAAGGAAAGAGCGAAAAAATGTTCCGATTCTTTTTTTTTTCAATAAAGCAAGACTTGTGTGTAAATGATGATTCCATAACAAATGAAAATCTTTGATCTAAATTCTAATGAGTTTTAGCCGTGATCCTCGTCCAATTTGTGGTGTCTGTCGCCTTCGAACGGCTGTTGGGGTTTTTTTTTTTTTGGGATCTTTTTTAATTTCAATGTTCTGTCATGATGTACCGAGCTTGGTTTTCTAATGAGGATTTAGAATCATTCAAAATAAAAGTTAAATATAAACCTGGCCGGAGTGATAAAAATCATCTTGCCCATAGGTAGGTAGGTAGGTAAGTAAGTAGAGTGAATATCTTGCACCTAAGCCGTTAGAAGGGACATTATGATACCACTTGGTGGGATTAGAAACTAGAATTAGAGTTTTTATGCCGTTCCAAATTTGTTTTTTAAGCAACTGGACTGGATCGAATTGTAAAGTGATGCCTAATCTAGGTAGTTCATCTTCCTCACAGTTAGCCTAGATGTCCCTATGTTCTGGAACCTTTTGGAGATTTATCCATAAATTTAGTAAGAACTCTTTGTGAGAACCAGCAGAACTGCAATGATCTGGTAAGTGAAAGACGATTCAATCCCTGTGTCTTTAACTATTTCCCCTTTTTCCATTCTTCCCTGGAGGGGAAACATTGAGGGCTGAATTTAGCCATAACTTATTTTTAGTTTTGCTCTCGCATTAATTTCGGTTAAAATGTTTTTGATTCGGGCGCCATCTAGCGGGACAAATTCGTTTAACTTTTTGAGTAGATTTTGTTGGTTATGATTCGAAATGTAGCGTTTCTTATCGTAAATAAATTATAATTTTCTATATTTCAACTACACCAACAAAAACTGATTGAAATAATTAAAAATAATGTATGTAATTGTCTTCTCTCAGAGTGTGTAAACTTTCTTTCCGGAACCACCTTAATGTGTTTACAAGAATATAAATCTCTAAATATGCATTTGAATGTAAGAAAATATTTATTGTAACATTTGGACGTTCCACGCACCAACGACACTCGTACAGATCCTCTTAAAGTCATGTCTTTTGAGTGATGTTGTGTGTGTGTTTTTCTTTTTTTTTTTTTTTTAGTTCATTTGTGCCACCGAAAGGTCCGTCCGTTGACTGAACGGAAGTGCGATAACTTTTATACACTTTGATTTACACTTATTGCCGTATTTATGATTGATTAATAATGCGCATGCGTGCGTGAATTATAAATAGCACACGTGCATAGCAATCAGTGCAACTATGTAGCACTTGTATGTATATACGTGTATGTACAGAAGTATATATGCAATTGCATTTCTATCTATAAAAGGTGTGTTTGCCGTGTTTTCATTGATATACATACATATTTATGTTAATTTTGTACGCTTTGCTGTGACATTGTGATCAACATGTGGCGTCCTTTTTCACTTTTTCATGGCAAAAATAGCATTTTTGAACATTTTCAAATTTTACAATCAGGAATCGTTTCGAATTAGAAAGAAAATGAAATTTTTTGTTTGAGTTTTGTTTTTCCAACGCAGAGGGGGACCTACATAGAGTTTTTTGCACAACCGCCTTCGAATATTATAAGGAAAATTTATCTCACATCAGAAATACGGTCTTAATTGGGAAAATTAATAAAAAAAATTTTTAGTTTAGTCCGTTTGTCAAGACAGTTGAAAATAAAAACAAGAAGCTAGTTAAGACCTTCCTACACTTCTCGAAGTTCCGGCGTTCATCTTGAACCACAACAACCATATCAATTCATAACAAGTTCTTAAGCTCATCTCATCAGCAATTTACTCGTTCTATTATGTCTTGAGCGACCTTTACGAGATTGAGTTTCTGAATAAAAGTAAGGTCTTTTGGAATTAGTAGCCTTCGAATCTTCCAGCACTCATATTTAGATGTTTTGATAGGCTCTGAGCGTCGTAGACCTTCTGTAATCTTTTCAGCCAATCGGTATTTGAGACAAATTATTTGTTCTGTATTTTAAAACATTGTACGTATGCATATTACAATATGAACAAACTTAACGACGGATCGCGAATGAATGACAGAATATTTAGCCGCTTCCCAGAGCAGCTGTTTTTATTATTATTTTATTTTGTTTTATTTTTCGATTTTTTTTTTTGTTTTTTTCCCGCTTTAGTAGTTTATGAGTATCCTTAAATTCAATATTTATTATTCTTAGTTCATAGTTTAATTCCTGCCTTCCCCGCGAAACTTTGTTGTAAAAGCAGCTGCGTGACATTGTAATCGATCTGCCTTTGCACACTTCAACAACTGACTTTAATTACAAAATTTAAATGGATATGCATATTTTTCCAAGTACCCTACGGAAAAAGAAACAAATTGTTAACTAGAATGTCACTAGTTTGCATTTTCATATAACGGTAATAAATATAAATTACTAATTCCGCTTTCATCATTGTGTCATGTTAGCAACTAGTATTTGCAACTCAATATATTAATTTTTCGACTTTGCATCAGCTTCATACTAGTTAAATACTAGTTCCTTTATGTGGGTTTGAATGTATTCAGTGAACCTCCTGCTCTAACATATGTATAATGCTGTATACCCGCAATTCTCCGAAGAGCTCTTCCTTTAGTTTGTGATGTTTGTCCCACTTTCACAAATGGAGCGACCCAGAGTTTATGCTAATCCACTCCAATTGGCTGAGAGATTTTAACTTCATGTCAGAAATACACTCGGAGGTGTTGACATTACCTGCGACGCGGTGACCGCAGTCACAAAATTCGATAGTATTTTTTTTTTTATTTTTTTTTGTTGTTATAATTATGTATGTTTGTCCGCTCAGGATTCTATCCCATCGCCTTCACGCTGGCAGTACGCAATGTAAACCACTCATCTTTGAATAACTAGTATCTCGCTAGTTTGTTTTGCTTACTAGTTGCGCTTTACCTTGCAGGGTGTGTCTATTAGCGCGTGGCTAAGTGTAATCACAGTGCGCGTACGTATTCCGGTAGCCAATGAGAATAACAGCAGGAGGCCAACTTATTTATGTACGCCGTGTATTAATTGCATATAACGGTAATAAATATAAATTTCTTTAACTCACAAATTTATGATTAATTCGTTGTGAAATGAGTAATTCTAAGCAGGTTGTAAATTAAAGCCCAGTAGCCGTTGTAACGCGCGTGATAATTAAAATTGCGACTGCCATGACACGCCGCCTCGTTGGTTGCATGCATGCTGCAAAACACATGTGCAGCGTTTGTACTTATGTACGTATATAAATAAATAACACAATAAACGGGCGCTGCTTGTGCGTGCGCATGCGTAAGTGGCAAAATATGTTTGAATGCATATAAACATTTGTATATATGTGCATATGTACAGGTGTATGTATGTATATATGTGTATATGAGCACCATTAAATTACAAATTGCGCTGGCAGCAGCGGTGTTATCGTCGATTTATCTATAATATTCGCTAGCTTGTGACTTAGTAGTGTCACCAAATTACAACAATCGTCAACATCCACGCCACTACCACCCGTTTGGTTGCAGTGCTGCCCATTCGCCTTTCCCCCTTCTCTGTTAAATCCTGTCGTCGATTTGGCTGTTGGTTTAAACGAATTTTAAGATTTATACGTTGCACTTAATTGGATTCGAAATTGGATTTCGACATGACTGGTGGCAGCTTTAACAAGTGCATCGGCTAAGCTTAGCTGCGAAATGCTTGACAAGTCACTGAGTGTCACAAATTCGAAAGAAAAAAATCGGACTGAGCGGAATTGGGTGCGCATTCGAACGCTTGCAACGCTTGCCTTGCAATAAATTTGCTTGGCGCAATTGTAAATCAGTTTTTCCTTTTGACTTTTTATATTTTACGGCCATTACTAGGGTAGGAGTTGCTATAGTGTAATAAAAAAATGTATGTTTTTTGGTTTTTATTTTCGGGCGTTGGCTTGGCCAAAATTTGAACTTATGACGCTCCGTACGGTATCACGCGCTAGCCACTCTAATACTGCGAATTCAAGAATCGTTTCTGGCAATCGTAGGAATAGATAATTTTTCCCTCAAATAATATCAATATTTGTTGGAGAGGTCTCACCCTAACCTTCACAACGACGTTTTACTTGCATTTGGTCAACATTGTAGCACCTTTCTTGCACTCTTGGATTGACATTTGCCACATTTGCCCATATAAATACGTACATATGTATGTATGTATGTTCAAACGTGCAAGCAAATGCTAAAGATTACACATGTAAATAAATAAATATGTAGACGTATGTATGTACATACATATGTACCAACAAGCATACATGTTGTTGACAAGCTTGACAATTAACCACAAGTTAGTGGCTTGTTGTTGTGTACGCTTGTCAATGCTTTCAATTAATTAGTTTATTAGCGTGAAAAGCGGCGATAGGCGAAAAAACAGCATTGCAGCAACAAGCCGCAGCGCCAGCGAAAAATGCCAAAACGAATATTCGTTCAAGTGTAACAATGCGCATACATATATATTTACATATGTGCATATGTATGCCTAAATTTTTTTACTATTTTTTTCTCTTTTTTTTTTTTTTGCTGCAAAGCGTGCAGTTGAACTGTCACTATTTCTCTTTTTAACTGCATCTCTGCTGCTGACGACAACTTCGTTGCTGCTGCTGCTGCTGCTGCTGCTGCTGCTGCAAGTGGTTGACATTGAAATGTCATAATTAAAATGAATTGTTACAATTGATAGTTTAGTTGTTCTGGGGCTGTAACTGTCATCTATTATAACAATAATATCATAGGCGGTGAAATGAGTTTTTTCTTCATTTTCAATTTGCATGCGGAATTATTTGTAGAAAAAGATTTTTTGAGTGGGAAGAAAAGACAAGACAAAAAGACTAAGGCATATTGAAATTTTTTAGCTTTCAATGAATGCAATGAAATTTTTAGAGACTATCACGCAAGTTCCAAGAAAGTGGTGGAATGAAAATGTAATTAAATTCGAAAAGTAAATTATTCATTTTAGTTCATCTGCAAAAGTTGTGATTCGAAGTTAAATTTTAAATTTCTCTGATGCCAATGGTCAAAAAAATAATAATAAATAAAAAAATGCGTGTTGGAAACTACGAATGTAAATTGGTTTATGAATTTTAATTAAATAAAATGAAATAATCGAAATTAGTAAGTTACAAAATTTCGTAATTAGAGGAAGAAGAAAATACAAGGAAAGATTTCACTCCAGACCATGGAATTGAAATAGCGAGAAATCTACCATTCTGGCTGTTGTTGTAGCACTTCGTTACACGTCATTTATTGACCAGATAAAGATAATAAACTTCATTGGGCTCAGGTAGCTGAAACAAGGAAATTGTCTTATATATCGATGGATAAACCGTTTGAGAGTTTAGAGTGAGATGAGTTGATGAGAGGGAGACTTGAAATGCTTATAAGACATACACATGCACTTTTGGCAGGTTAAACGGAGGACGTTATTGTAACGATGTTTCTCAATTGGCTGGGGTTAACTCAGCCTCGTCCAGTTTATCTAAAACAACAATTCTGATGGTTACTCCTAAATTATGTATAACAATTTATATATTTAAGTGCAAAATATTCAACTTTATACTATAAATTTGACCTACTAGTTACATAGGCAGTGGAGGTGGTATCCCTCTTCTAAGCTTCTCTTCAGTGAGGTGGAAACCGTCAGTTATAGGACATCAGTTACCTTTAAGTTTACCGCCACTGTCAGCACTGCTTCTGAAGGCTTTTGCCAAATTTAAAAGGAGGAGATGCAAGGAAGACCGCTTTATGGAATACTCTGTCGTATTCGTCTATTTTTACCCTAAACGTTCGAAATTGGAAGTATTCGAAATACATACATATCCGCTAATTTAAAAAAAAAAAAAAAATATTAATGTACTTTGCGTCGATAAATACACAAAGCCAATATAAAATGGTTTGAAACTGACCCTTTTTAGGTGAAATCCGTTTTCAGAAACGCAGTATAGACATTCCTGAAAATGAAAAGTTCCAGAAATAATTTAAATTTTAGGGAGCAACCAAACATGTTTCTCCACTTCTCTTCGAATGTCAATACACATATGTATATATATGTTTCTATGTAGAGCTCCGTTAATAAATTTATTATTAATTTAAAAGTGTCCAAGCATTATTTTATTAGCACATATTATACTTACATCCAAAAAACACATATATATGTATACATATATGATTAAAATTCAACATTGTCGCCTGTGGCTGAAATTTTTATAACAAATTTGTCCTTAAACCAATAATTTAATGCATAAATCACCACTTAAAATTAATCAAATGCCAAAACCAACAAAATTTCAATTATGTACACACATACATAAGCACATGTGTACAACCTTTTAAAGCTTGCACTCATAACGCTCGAAACTCCATTTTTAATTTAATGTCTTACGTGTTGCCAGCCCGCCTTGGAACGACATAAAGTTGTTTGTATGCATGTAAGCGTTAGAGAGCCGCCCACCGACCGCAAGCAACACACGAACGTGTACAATTAGAATGTATGTAAGTATGTTCGGCAACTGTTTGGCCGCACGCCAAGATAGCCATCGGTTTGTAGCGTTTTTTAAGTAGCGGGCGTGTGTACCAATCAGCGGTACCTACTACTGTTACGGCAGTGCTCTTTTGGTTTGTACGTGTATGTATGTATATGCTTTTATTTATCAGCTAAGAAACGTTTGCATAAATGCACCTACATTTGTATAAGTTTCTAATTATTATTTTTTTTTTGTTGAACCTAGAAATTGCTTAGCTCCACCTATTACCCAAGACAAAAGAAATTGAATGTTTCTTAATTCATAATTTACAACCACACAGTTGATGAGTATATTTATAATTCCAAATCTATTTTTATTTAAATTAATCTTGCAGATTATCATCCACTTAACAGTTATCCCGGTTATCAGATGAACCCGACAAACGGCATGGATACAGAAGATGTCGAATCCACTTCCAGCAGCGCCATGTCCAGACTTGGTACACTTTTCTCTTTCACATCGCCTGCAGTAAAGAAACTACTGGGCTGGAAACAAGGCGATGAAGAGGAGAAATGGGCCGAGAAGGCAGTCGACAGTTTGGTGAAGAAGTTGAAAAAGCGCAAAGGCGCCATTGAAGAACTCGAACGTGCTCTATCCTGTCCAGGCCAACCCTCAAAATGCGTTACAATCCCACGTTCACTGGATGGTCGCTTACAAGTAAGTTGTTGGCTACTTTTTAGCTCCCCACTACCGTCGTTGAGATTCTTATGTAATAAAATTATGTTAAATTCAAATTTTGCAGGTATCTCATCGCAAAGGCCTACCACATGTTATATATTGCCGTGTATGGCGTTGGCCAGATTTGCAATCACACCACGAATTGAAACCATTAGAGATTTGTCAATATCCATTCAGCGCTAAACAAAAAGAGGTTTGCATCAATCCTTATCATTACAAGCGTGTTGAAAGTCCTGTGCTGCCGCCGGTCTTGGTGCCACGTCATTCAGAGTTTGCACCCGGCTTTTCCATGCTCCAATTAAATCAGCCCATGTCTGAGCCGCCAATTCCACCCAACATGAATTTCTCCAATAACGGCTTCAATAATATGAGCCCCAACAGTCCGCCTCTAACATCAGCCGGCAGTCCAAGCACGGTCAACTCAAACCCTAACTCACCATACGGCAGTTTGGCAGGCACGCCACCGCCGGCATATAGCCCCTCAGAGGATGGCAATTCGAACAATCCCAATGATGGCACACAATTGATTGATGCACAGATGGGCGATGTTGCTCAGGTGAGCTATTCAGAGCCGGCATTTTGGGCTTCCATTGCCTATTATGAGCTCAATTGTCGTGTGGGTGAGGTATTCCATTGCAACAACAATTCGGTCATAGTCGACGGTTTTACGAATCCATCAAACAATTCTGATCGCTGCTGTCTGGGGCAGTTGAGCAATGTAAATCGCAACAGTACCATAGAAAATACACGCCGTCACATAGGTATGTGTGTACTTAACAATACATAGATAAGGGCCATATAATTTCGCTACTATCATAAAATCTAACTTCAATTATCTTCTATTTGCATTGCAGGAAAAGGCGTTCATCTATATTACGTTGCTGGCGAAGTGTACGCCGAATGCCTTTCAGACTCGGCCATATTTGTGCAATCACGAAACTGCAATTATCACCACGGCTTCCATCCGAGCACTGTGTGCAAGATACCACCCGGTTGTTCGCTGAAGATCTTCAATAATCAAGAATTTGCTCAACTCTTATCGCAATCAGTAAACAATGGCTTTGAAGCTGTTTACGAATTGACGAAGATGTGCACGATCCGCATGAGTTTCGTCAAGGGTTGGGGCGCCGAATATCATAGACAAGATGTGACTTCCACACCATGTTGGATAGAAATTCATTTGCATGGCCCATTGCAGTGGCTTGATAAAGTGCTGACACAAATGGGCTCGCCGCATAACGCCATCAGTTCCGTATCATAAAAGCAAAATGATATTGGTACATACAGGCATATTTCATTCTATTTACATTTCACCATCTACAAGAGAAAAAATCAACAATATGAAATGAACTTGTAGCAATTTCTTTGACAAAAAATAAAGAAAATTTGGATAATTCATATTTGAATTAATAAAGGTATACGTATTGTAAATTTTCACCTGATCTAAGATAAAAAATCTTAAGAAGTCCACGTTCATTTGATCCTACAATCAAAAAAAAAGAGAAGAAGGATTTTCGAAAGATAGTAGCCAAAATTGAATTTAAATAATTTGAATGTGTTGTAAAATGCGCATATATAGTGCACACTTTATATACTTATTTTAAGATATTTTTGGGAAAATTTGAAAACAAATATGAAATAAGAGAAAGAATGTCGATAATAATAATTATCCAAGATTTATAATAAGCAATCTAATATATAGTATGTATGTAAAAATCATAGCCATCAATATCATTTAAATTTTATGAACAGCATACACAGCAGTTTCCAAGTTGCAAAACTTGATGTGGTATACCCGATATATGTTTATAATACGTATGTTTTTACAATATTACAAAAATATTTTTGAAAAACGTTAAGCAATTTAATTTTTAGTTTTATATAATAAAATTTTATTCTTATTATTTTAGTATTGTAGGAACAAATGAATGTGGACTTGTTGTTTTATTTTAGAAATTTCTCTTGTAGACCAGAAATTCGAACTGAAGTTGAAAAGTGAAAAAAATTGTGCTGCTTACGTATTTTCAGTGCTTTTTACCACATGCCTTGCGTTCCAAAAGGAACAAAATTGAATGCCTTAACCGAATTAAATAAAATAAATTTAAAAATGCACACATACATACATGCAAATAAATGTAAATAAAACTCTCGGCCCGATTAATTGCTAGAAATAAAAACTACAATAAAATTACGCATTTATGTTACGTTATTATTATTATTATTTTTTTTAATGGAGCTCACAAACATGCCACTAACTATGAAAATTAAAATTGCCTTCAAGTTTATTTGAATTTTTAAGACTTCAGTAAATATATATACACAATAAATGTGAAACTTGTAATTGAATCATATATCTATGTATAGGTTGAAAATTCGCTATATATTTGTAGCTTTTCGCCCATTTGCTTTGCGCTTTGTATTTTGCTATAAAATATGAATAGTTGTATGTTATTCTATAATTATTGATAATACTTTATGTAAACCCATTGTAGTTGTAAAATAAATTTCAAATAAAGTTCAATGGATTTCCTGCAAAAACTAAACCATTAGTACCAAACATTTAATTGCAACAAAATTCCATATTTGTTTGTGGTATATTCTCGGGAACGAAACGAGATTCGGAAGTTCGAATAGTTTTTTTTTCAGCAGCATTTGAAAGTGAATATTGACAAGCTTGCCTAAATTTGCTGCTCTTGTATTAGCAAATTAGCCCGAAATTTTTTAAATAAATTCTTCATCATTCACTTTTACCACCAGGTGGCAGCGTTTGCAAACAGCTGATTGTCACTTTGACATTTGCGATAGCTTGTGTGTTTTTTTGGTCGTGCTTTGATTGGGAATTGTGTTGCTGGTGCATGAATTAAAATATGTCGAACGTAATTGATCCAATAAAACTCCTTACGGATAAAGGAGAACGGCAACCGTCGTACATGAGCAATAAATTCAATCCAGTCATTTGTTCAATTCTTGGCTTTGGCTGTGCAGTGTTCATGAATTTTGGCTTGAGAAAGCCGCCGTTCTCTGGTGAGCTTCTTGTGACGTAACTGCATTTTATCAATAATATCTGGTATAAATTATGTTATTAATTGACATTTATTTATTTGTTATTTAGGTATACAAAATCATGCAATCTTCACACTCATTGGGGGTGGCCTAGGTGTATTCTTTGATCAGAAAAGAGAAGAGTATCTTGCTAAACGTGACGCCGTATTGAGGCATTACATTGAACTTCATCCAGAAGATTTTCCAGTCAAGGGTAATGAAACGATATTAACTTTATTATAATAAAACCTTATTAAATGCGGTTGGTTTTCCCTTTAGAACGCAAGAAGTACGGTGATATTTTGGAGCCTTGGGTGCCCATTCGTTAAGGATCACACTAAGATGTTGCTGTATCAGTGATAAATGCAATCACTACCAAAACTGCTTAGAAAATTAATTGTATAAAACAATATAAGCTAATAATTAGAGTGCAAAAACGGAAAATGAATAAAAATCGTTCGATACCGTGGTTCGGTAAAGAAAGGTTTTCAGAGTATTCCTCTTTGTATTTTTTGGTCAATTCCAAGAAAGAGTTGTGCTTTGCAAACCCAGTGGGAAGGGAGTATTCTTGAAAGTATAAACGTATGACCGTTTGGATGAATGTCTAAGATTTATTTGAAGTTAAAATATTAATTGAGTTTCGTGCAACTGAACAGTTTATGGTTCAAATATGATCAGTCGGTTGAGAGATTGGAAGCGTGTGCTGAAAACGTCTATTGCATCTGTAAGGCCCATCTCAATGATAAAAGGTTTGTACATTTTATGAATGATATACAAATAAATAAATATATATAAAGTTCTAAGAAAGTACAAACATCCAGATAATTTATATGGAAAATGATAGCAACAATATTAATATTTAGACATCGTCACCTTGTGTGGAGTTTTACCAAATAAGTGGGTACTAATGGATTTCAGTACTTTAAAAAACGATTTGATTTTGTTAAGCTGGTCGCTATTGTTTAGGAAACGCTGGAAAACAAAGTTTTTTTTTATTTATAATCTAACTGCCTACACTAATATGTAGGACGAAATACTGTCAATACTCTCCCTTTCTCGATGGAATCTCATGCGCATGTTCATAAATAAGCCGTTATACAAATTCAACAACCAACAACTTGTTGTTGTCGGGGTAGTTTTCCAGATCCAACGGTGACCACAAACCAGACAGAGATGGTTGATAGTATTGTAGAACAATTGGCAGTAGTTAGTTGAGTTTTAGATGTTGAACGGTAAAAATCTTAAGGACGGAAAGCTTGTTAAAATTGTTATATCATAAAATAAAAATAAATACCAGAAGAAGAATAAAAAAAAATAATAAAGAAAAAAGGTGAAACATGATATTTGTTGGTGATAGCCAGCATAGTTGGTGGGCGTGTGGAAGCTAAGTGAAGGCACCATGTTGAAACTGTAATTTGGATGAAATATGTTTTTGTGACCTATAAAGTTCTTTCAATGCAACACTGATTTAAGTTAAAATTAAGAAAAAACAAGTTTTAATCAAAATATTATTAGCATTCAAAGTGTAGTTTTCAAAAGGAATTTAGTTTTTTGTTTTTCTTTTACTAAGCTTAATAAAATTTGAAGTAGAGTAAAAACTTCACTTCTTTATTTATCAAAAAGAAAATCGAAAAAATTTAAAAACCAACTACTAAAAAAATTTTAAAAACTAAATAAAAAAATATAAGTAAAAAAAAATCATCTAATAAAGATGACGAAAAATTATAAAAAGCTACGTACTGAAATCCTACCAGTGTTTCAATAATAGCTCCTGTATTGCGTCTTTTCTCTTCATCGTTTATCGTGCATGTTTATTTGTTGACTCTTCTGGGTTACTGTGTGTGTATGCAAACAGATTCCGAAAATCCTATACTCGCTGGTCAATCATCCTTTGCACAATAAAATCCATTGTGGCCCGAGTGACATACAAACGCCGTGAAGACGCCGCTGCCACCATCAAAGGGCAAACGTGCGTAAGACTCCATTAGTGGCGTCATACACTACTATTTGAGTTGGCACTGCGGCAAACAAAGCTGGAGTACAGTTTTAAAGGCGGAGAGCAGGAAGCAGTGAACTGCGGAAAATCTGTTGACTGTTGCCGCAACGTAAATTTCTGGAATTAGCTGTCATTATGGCCAAGGTAGGTTAATTAGAAAGTACTGGTTGTTTGAAGTTGTTGTTGTACAAGAAAGTATCTTCCATTAAGATTATTAAACAATTATTAAGAAAAAATTTATTGTTTTTATTTATTATATTTGAACAAATATATTGTATTTTTACACGTCAAAAGTATGCAAAAATTAAATATTTCATAAAATTATTATTTGAGACCGCACCGCCTACCAACAAAAATAGTTTATATCAATCTTATATTTAATTAAAAACGAAATGCTTTTATAAAATCTCTACATCGAAATACTTTCCATTGAATTATTTATTAGCAAGAAATTAATAAATAACAAACCTTAACGACCGAACATCATATATTTTTCTTTCAAAAACTTGAAATTGATGGTGCGTCTAACATTACTAGAAAACTTCTAATAGGGTGCACAAGAGATACACCAGCGGTTTTCTGGCGCTCACTTTGTAGAATGAGCAAATGTTGTAAAATGTTAAATGAATATTTTCTTTTTGGTATTAAGACCTAAGAATATGATATTTACCCCAATATCTGCGTTTACTTGAACCATAAATCACCTTTAACACAGATAACTAAGCTTAAGAAGAATATTCAAGTCTCCTTTACGCATTTTACCTTGTGTAATGCCTTAAAAAAAGGTGATTTTTGGGAATTTTTATTAAAGAAAAAAATCTTTTTCAATTATTTAAAAATTTTAAAAATATTTTTAAGCATGTTTCAAGAATATACAATGAAATTTTTGAAGAAAAAAATTAAATATTTTTTAGGCAATAGTCGATCTCCAACGACGCGAAAAAAGGTCCTTCGTGGATGAAATCTAAAAAAAAATTCTCCACTATCTGTACAAATGACGATAAAAAAATCAAAAATTGACAATATGGTGGGGTTTTAAAAAAAAATAGTCGAATTTTACGCAAAATTTTGGTCGTTTTTGGCCTGCCGAAATTCGATTTTTTATCAGATCAAAAATCGATAGGTTGTATGGAGAACTATATATTTAGAACATGTGAAAAAAGTTCGATAGTGATCGGATCATTTCTTTTTGAGTAATCACTGCAGCAAATTCGGAAAGTGCTGTTTCGAGAAAAACGCGTTTAAAGATAAAATTATCGATTTCACTCGTAGCTAATGAGACTCTCTAGCTGCCGAGCGGCTGCTCTTTAAATTGCTATAACTCAAAAACTATTTGAGATATCGATTTGAAAGTTTAATATGTCATGAAGAAATTCACTATAGGTGTGCCCCTTAAATTGCTTAAAATTACTTAACTTTTCTTACTAATATTCGTGATCATGGGAATTTAAAAAAATTTTGATTGTTTCAAGTTTCTGCCATTCTCAAACAAAATTTAAATAATTTACCACTCTAATGTCCATCCATCCGTTGGAGCAACTCCCTTAACGCTTTACACACGGACACCTGCCTGTCCAACTTACACGCGTATGTCATTCGTCATTTATACGCGAACGATGTGTGTTTTTCTGCAAGGAGCTGGGAAATATTTGGTGGTTGAGAATTTACGGACAAGAATCTGTTCTTCATTGGCATCTTAAGCATAAGCCATGTATTACTCACGTGTGTATTTTGGCCAAAAATACTTGAATGGAAGCTAAAAGGTACAATGTGTGAGTGAGTGAGTGATGGTGGTGGTGGTGGTGGTGGTGGTGGTGGTGGTGGTTGAGAGTCGTAAAAAAGAAATTGATGTTGCAATTTTGTGTATTCAAATGAGAAATGGCGCTCATTTGATATCCAAAACAGGTTTCCGATTTTACATTGTAGTGATGTATTATATGTACGTATGCATGTACATCTGTATGTAAACACCAAGGTGCGTAAGGATAACCCAATATAAAGCCTTGTTTAAATAGGATGACGAAGATAATCGAAGTTTATGTATTATTTATTTAAAGTTGGTATTTTATTCCTAATTTTGTTTAATTATTTGCTATTTAGTATTTGTTTTATTTCATTTTTATTTATTTTTTTTTTTATTTTATTGTTAAATATTTTCTTTTGGTTACCTCTTTCCACGATAGACAGATATGCACGGGCAAAAGCATTTTGTTTTTCTTTCAAAATATCTTACATAATTTTAATATTTTTCTCAATTTAAATTAGATGAATTGCAAATTTTGTTAATATTTCATGCTCTGAATAGATCTCCAATTTCAGCAACACTTCTTACTCAAGTAAAACATAAAAATATTCTAATACCGAGGACATGAGACCATTATTTTCTTTGAGAGCAGTCATAAAGTTGGAAATAAATCTATAAAACTGTCTTATAAAATTGTTATGATTATCTACAGACAAACAATGCACATTTTATTATGATAAATTCACATTTTGTACATACCTACACTATTATAGCAAAGCATGTCCCAGTTCAGCGTGCGGCCAGCGACTTTTCAACATCCACAGTTCTTTAGTGCTTACGTAGTTGCTACTATATCATATTAATATGTGTACACATGCATATAAGTATATGTACATAAAAAATATTATACAAGCGCAGTTGCATATATAAAACAGCTTAGAATGCCCCACCAATAGAACTTACACTAAGTAAAATGTGCTTTCATGATGATGGAAACCCTTTTTTAATTAATTTAATGAAGAATAAAAAAATAAATAAACAAAAAAAAAAATAAAATAAAATATATGAATTAAAATAAAATAAAGTAATACAAAAAAAAAAATAATTAAATAGAAGAAAATAGGAAATTAACATAAAATAAATAAAAGTAAATTATCAAACAAGGATACATACGAAAGTTAACGGAAGCCAAAGTTACTGACACAATTTCTATTCGCATGGCTTCACGTGCACGACTTTCTGCTAACACACGGGCCTTGGCCATTTATTTTTTACTCACCTCGTATTTTGGTGACTTTATGTCTGCATTGCACGAATCAAACTAAAGCAGCGTGCAAATACGAAAAGCACCAAAAATAAATAAACTACAATAAAAAATCAAGACAAACAACTCAGTGTGCAAAACCAAACAAACTAAATTCTAGCTTTCGCCAAATTGACCCAACTTAAGGCAGTTGCTGACTGCTTTTAGAGGAAATAGTAATAGCGTGTGTACATACAAGTATGTGATATATTCTATTATTTATTTTTACCTCCAAAATGCTTTGAGATAATACCGTTAACTCTTAAAAAGGCATGTAGGAAATAAAAACTTGTCGACAAAGCTCAATAGCAGCAAGCGACTCGAACGTCCTTAGCAAACACATGACTTTTGAGTCTGTTTTGTTTAAAAATATGAGGAGCTGAAAATTAACAAGCGGTAATGTTTGAGAAGTTTCCAATTTTTTAAGAAATAATTTTCCGGTGAGTTTTAGGAAACTGTGCGATATTTTATTATTTTACTTTCTATATTTTAAGGCTGCCTTTTTGGAAGACGCAAATGTGATGACAGATAATGCGCATTATTACCACCGTCTGTCAGTGCTACGATATATTTAAATCTTAACTTTGAAATAATAAAGTAAAATGCTCAATTTTTACATTATGAAAAATATAATGCATGTGCATATACATGTATGTATATATATAAGTGATTCACCAAAAATTTGATTTACTCTTCCAAAAAATTATTATTACTATTTTTCATTTTTATATAAAAATAGAATTGTGTTCAGTGTTTTTCATAACCCTTCATCTGCATTCAGTTGTGCTTTATGTTTGTTTACTTGGCAAAGGACATCACTTTTTCGCCACACATGCGGCTGCGAGCGAACTGAACGAAAAGGGATTAAGTGCAGTTCGAATTGGCAAAACTGGTGACACACATGTATGTACATATATAATATTGCTAAAATAATAAAACCATGCCATGAAACTAAGAAACTAAACTCTCGTAAGGCCAATCAATAGTTTCCAAGTGTAAAATAACTATTTTGATACCTCTGCAAGTACATATACATATACATACATACATACACATGTGCCTGAATATAGTTTTAAGAAAAAGTGGCTTTTTGTTTTTCTAAATTTTATTTTAGCTTTTCATTACTTCATGTTAAGCTTTTTCAAGACCAAAGACATTTGCTCATGCAACAGAAAATCTAAAATTAAATGCAAACAAGCGTTTGAAGCAAATCAGGCCAGCAGTCCTGTGTGCTCCTGTGTCTATTGAGATTAATTTCGCCGCAGACTGTGTAAACACACTTGACAACTGCCTGAAAATGCCATAAAATAAGCCTGATTGAGTGACTCATACGCCTGGTGGTGGCCACAAAACGTGATTTGCCTGGCATCTGCGTTATGCATGTGTGAGTGTATGCACTCGTAGTACATGTACATGAATAAAAACGATGCATTCAAAAACTACTGCAGCAAAGTACCAAAGCCTTTTGTCCTCCTCCGCTGCCTTTGCACTGGTGGCCTTCCGTTTTCCGTTTTCTCTGCTTTGTTGAGCGCAAACCCTAGGCAATTTTCTCTTCTCTACCCATTGTTGTCGACCATTGTCTTACATTGAACTTTCTGGTACATATTTAAGCATGTGAGTATGTACATGCGATAAGAGAATCAGTTTTTATCTTACATAACCATTTTAACACTGACCGCTTTGCTGGAAGAGTCAATGAGAAGATATGTATCAGCATACTCGTATATACGTGTATTTATGAATTTTTCGGGATACCGTATAATGTTTTCGAAAACAATAACACATTGACAGATATAAGGACATATACATATAATTTGTTAAGAGAACAATTATTACGAAAATTTTCTCAATAGTCTGCAAAATATCGCAGTTATGGCCGCTCGGGAAGTTGCCAGCTGCTGTAAATGTAATTGTAAATACTGTTGATTGTTATATGTATAACAATTTATATTAAAAATTAGTTGAGAGTTTTTAAGTCGAGGGAGCGAAAATAAAATGAAATAGAATAGCGGACCATGTGAACGTGAGGGGCAACAGCAAAAGAGAAATTGCTTGAAATTGAATTAGAGAATTTAGATTTTTTTGTATTAGAGAAAT